CTATAATAATAATATGTAATGCTGTATGTGTGTTGCGCGCAAACACGAGCACTCCCACCTATATTTCCATGGTGACAGTAAGCGTACATTGCAAATCGACAAACGCCAGCTGGGACCGTCGTGCACAATCTTCTCTTTGCTGCGTATTTCTTCCACATGTACGACCCCCAAACGTGTATTGTTGTATATGTGTTTCATGTCGTTTCAACGAGCCGGATATATACATTTCGCTGCCCACGCTTATGTCTGTCGGATCGACGCAAGAAATAAGAATATCTAAGATAAGAAAAATAACCGAGAGACACGAACCGAACGTACACAGCGTTGTATCGACTGATTTTACATCCCCAGTTCACGGGAGACCAAAGAACACCCCCCCGAGAAACGCCAGCGTTTTTATGCGGTCATAAAATCGTCGACCGGTTAATTGTTATTAGCAAAGGGACACGTTGAAAGTACATAGTAAATGTATAAATAGCCATTAAATCTTGCAATAATGTTCGCTATTAAGTATATAGTTCTACCAAAACGCATTAACAGTCAATGTAAAGAAAGTATAACACGTATGTTTTCGTCCAATGTAATAATACAGCCAATGTACTTCAATATTGTGGTTAAACGGTGATAATATTGCCTATTTCGAGAATGGTTTTGAGAATCAAATATTATAAAATCATCTGTTAACAGAATATGTCTATTTCTTTTATCTCTTATCATCACTATCTTATCAAGAGCCATTATCAGCTAAAATTATACCACCAATAGAGATAATTTTCCGCCATCTTAGTGGGAGTTAGAACATTTTCACATGAAATATGGTTATAACAGTTATAAGTTAAGTTGATATCACAGCATCCACAAAAATGGCGGACGACGACTTCCATTCTTATCACTAGTTAAGCATCTAGTTTGTTATATTATATATCTGTGGCTGTCTCTTGTATCACTTATCATATCAGCTGTTTCTTATCACTGTCGGGAAATTGATGCCACAATTTCAGATGGACAGTGCCGAAAAATGACTTTAAAAACTCACAAACTAAAGATTTTATTAAAAATATTTTCCTAAATAAGTCGTTAGTTTTGATAAGAAATACACGGTTTCCATTAAAAAAAAAACAGGTTTAGGTCGGCCATTTTGATAATTATTTTTGAAACATCCCTCTTGGAACTCCAAAAGTTTATAATGAACAACTTTTTGATTGAATTAGTAAGTTTTGAGAAGAATCCATTAATATTTTAAAACGCGACACTAGTCTAAGTTAATGAATGGTTTAGAGCATTGGGGAGTTTTATATTTTAACGTTACAAAAATAACACCCAATATTTGAAATAATATTTTTAAACGTTTTCTTAAGAATAAACGTACCTTCTGAAGTATTCCTCTGTTGTATATCGAGATTGATTCGACAGAGAGAACAAACACTTGCCCGCCACGTTATCAAAATGGTGGTTTTCTTCGACGGTTAAGTCTGCCAGTTACTTGGCAAAAGTTTAAAGTGCGTGACTACCCTCGTCAAAATAGTTGTACACTTTATTCAGAACGCTATATATTCAAGTTGGTATAACGCAACCGACTTGCTGTGTGTATTTATAGACAGCCAAATCATTTAAAAAGCGATGAATGAATAAAATATAAACAACGTTGACAGCGCGAAATACAAATTTCGTACGCCAAACAGAGGTGGCTACCTAAAAATGAAGTATACTATATTTTTGTAAATTCATAAGCGCAATACAAAAAATTAACATATTGACTTACCAAACTCATTAAGTTTGTTTTTTGAGGCTTTTGTACACGAGGTAACCTGACAAAATATTCGCTTAAAAATGTTCATAAGGCAAATTGTTCACCGCTGAAAAACTATGAAGTATATTTGTGTAAGATTGCAATATACTATGAAGAACTAATTGATTAATAATGGTTAATAAAGTAGGCAGTTTTAATTTGCTATTAATAAAAATTGAGGGTATAAGGAGAAAAAAATTACTAACCATTTTTGATACATTTTTGGAAGAAACATTTGGGTCTAAAGTAGATGTTATAAGATAAAATATTACACACCAAGTGCTTCGATACAAAGCTAAGGGGCGTTCGTTTCTGAAACGATAGGGTTTTTAAACGGCTTTCACTATCACTATTGTTATCATCTTGTCCATTATTTTATTTCTATGTTGAAAAAAACATAGCTTGAATGTCAGTTCTTTCAAATGAACATATACTAAATTAATACATTGAATATTATTATTTATTATTAAAATCGCGCTATTTTAAATATAATAACTTTAATTTTTCTTTTTTTGAACCAGTGTATTATATGCTGTTAATTGCAGTCTACGAGTAAAATAAATATACCAGCTAAAAATACTTTGTAAGCAAAGTGTACACGGTCACTATGTAACAAAAAAAAAACTTAAGTGTCTTAAAAGATGTTATACTAAGTAAGTATCGGAGCAAGTACACGGCGTTGTCAACAACACAGATTTCGAATACGGTGTAAAGTTTTATTTGTAACTAAGAAACTTGTTACTGAACAGAGCACCCTCTTCGGGTCATGTGTGCATATATATTGTATCATCAAATTTACTTATTGTTTTAGGTTATTGGATTGCAAATTGTATTTAAAACAAAAAATAACTAAGAAACTTTCCCAATCTACTACCACCTCGTTATATAATTAGATTTGCCCAGCTGTCATTGTTCACAAACAATGACAGATATAATGGCCAAATGTATACACGGGTTAGATGGATTTGCTTGGTTTTTTTTTTTTACTTAGCTCCTTAGTGCTTGTAAAATCAACGAGACCATTTTGGCCGAACAATAAACGCTTTTTACGATTCAAATCCCATAGGATTTGTACGAGATTTAAACAAACTTATAATACCATTAAGAGAGAGAGACCGGAGTTTAAACACAGTTATTTTTTTTGTTTGCAGTAGGTATGAAATAGCGTTAAAACGTCAATTAAAAAAGACAAATGTATTTTTTCTCCAACCGAATAATTCGCGAAGTGATTTAAACCATTTTAATGTTCTTGGAAATTTCATCCTGCCCCGACTCGTGTCTTTGTCTGTTGAAACAAAATTCGACTCGTTAAGAACACAGAAATCAATTTTTCGGGAAGGGGGAAAGGTATAATTTTTTTTTGTTTACTTCTTACGTTTCCGAATGTCGAATCTTTTATTTGATAACAAGTTTTGTCCCGTCGATTATTCTCGTTTGCGATAGAAATATCACCGCCCCCCTCCCTAGCCCAAGGGGGAGAACCTCTAAAAGCTTTTATTCATTTTGTACTATGAAAAAAAAAAAAAAAAAAAAACATCAGATTTGATTACAATAAAGAGGATATTATTTTTCTACCGCCCCGTCACTCAAACGAGGGCGTTTTCTTTTTGTGCGCGAAGACCCATTGTGAGACCCATAAGACCTGTGCACAAAAGGGTTGATGTTTTGTAACAATAAAAATACATACCGTATTAATACCGTTATAATATTATTTTGGTGCGAGGACAGAGAGAGATATAGACCTACGAGGTAAACAACAGCGACCGTGCACGCACGGCTGTACCGAAATTGCCTAACCGTCGCGCCGTCCAACGTGGAAAATCGCCAAAGGGTCGAGGAGGTGTAATAATTTTACAACATCTCTCTGCGTGTAATATTTCTATTTATATATTATAGGTTCGAGTCCGGGCAATAGCTTTATCGGAAACGTCCGGAATCGCCCTAGGAGAAACCGACCGATAAACGTTTATTATGTGTCATTATAATGAGGGGGGGGGGAGGAAGGGCATAGGCGGAAGGAACTCTATGCGGGTCGGATGCTTGCCTGTATGTATCTAGCTGATGTACTGTGCGCGGATATAGCAAAACACGGTCGTACATTATTATTGTACAGTGTGTACACACGGACGTCGGTGGGTTTAAGCCCTTAACGCCGGACCGTTGTTTGTCGCCGTAAGTCCCCGTGTACCTAAGTAGACACAGCGATGGGAAAACGGCGCTGGTTAAGTAGGAGTATGTGTGATAAGAAAAGGGCTACTCTAACGGGCGACGATTAAACACAAAGGTTTCGCGTAAAACGTCCAAAGCCAAGTAGGCCGCCTCTCTGCGCGGGTAGGATAGGGTGACAAGCACAAAGGCCAAAATAAATACCATCTCATTTGTTTTAACCTACCCGGACAAGTTTGAACGAAAAAGGTTTTACACAATACATGTAGGTAGTATACCGACGACTCTTGAGTGGGCGACACGCCTCCTCCTCTGGCAGTCTCATTTGTCGGCGACACATACATATTGTTATGAAAATCGCACTCGCGAAGTACACACAGCAGCGTGCAGCGTTAAAAATGCAAGACTTAGTAGTTGTTTTCTTCGTTTTAACAAATAGCAAACCCGGCCGGGTAGTTGAAAACAGCGTCTTAAGGGAACCGCCTCCTCTATTCCCACGGCCATAAAACGTCCAAAGTCACACGCCACATGATCGCTGTAGGCAATCATCAGAGCACTACTGTGTAATCGGACGACCCACTCTTGTGAAAATAATCAGTCAGCCGTACACGCTTTCGGTTATTATCCATCTCCACGGCTGCTATCCTATTATTTCTATATGGAATTTAATGCACAAATACTGCATGAAGTGGGATAACGACCGCGGCGTTGAAGTAATTGATTGTTTTCGATAAATGCACCGAAAACACGATGGGTATTTGAATTATTGAAATTACATTCATTCATTGTGCTGTACATATTTTCATAATTGGTTCGGTTTGGTTAAGTTTGTCCGCAGTACACAGTGGTACGACGACACATGCGAAAACACGGATCGGTTACCAAATAACACCTGCGATGGAAACGCGGTATGGTAAACATGTTTACCCCGCAGCAATACTGTGTTGGCAATGAATGTGTTTGCCGAGTGCACGCTTTGACTCAATATTTGCTTAAGAGTTTTTGTTGTGGTAAATTAATTGACTAAACATCAGTGACAGGCATCGTTGTCACACAGTACGGCCACGGTAGAACACGAGGTACGACGTAGCGTATTATTATTCAGTGAAACTTACATTGTTATCGTTATTTATATCAATACGAAATGTCCTCGTCTGGATCGTTAAACGGACGGATGATTTTGGTACTGTATTGTTTGTTAACTACGCGCACATCTTAACATGGATAGGTTATTCTCTCGGTCACGATTGTTGTCGGTTAAAGTACCAGGTTCCTATAGGTAAAGTGTGCTTCGTCTAGCCGGACCAAGTGAAGCAACATTGACCGTTTGCAGAAGCTGTCTTGGCAATGTCTTGGAGCACACTTTAGGTATAGAACCCTGGTACCTCAAATTCACGAACGAAGCGCAATTGGCTAGGGTTTATTTTTATGCGGTGTTGTGTGTTAATACTGTGTTATTGATTGCTCAGATAGTTTCGGTGCTGCTGATCTCGTTGGCCGGAATCGAAGCGGGTCAGGCCCCTTCCGACGGACTGCCTTGGGAGTTTGACAGGAAGACCGGTACGGTGATGGTGGCCGACAACGTGCTCACAGGATCTGTGAATGCCGACGGCGGTAAGATGCTGAAAGTCAACGAAGCTCAGCCGATAAAGCGGTACAACTTCAACACCGAATCCATAGGAGGCGTTGGCAGCAACAAGGTGGTACAGCATTCCACTACAAGCACATCTAGCGGTGGCAGCAACACGGGTGTTGGTAATGCCGGTGCAACGGACTGCACCAAGGTAAACAACGGTAACTGTGCCAACTCCGGAACGGGAAGTCTCAAGGCGAATAATGACTTAAATGAAGAAATATTCAACTATGTTATGTACGGCCCTAACGGGGTTGCGCAGAACAAGAAGAAAAAGGTAACAGGGAAGCCGACCAAAACCGTAGCGCCGAAACCGACTTATAGCGTTTACACTATCAACGGCGGAAATGGCAATGCTTGGCCACAATACGACAGAAGGTAAGAATAATGATAAGGAGACTTAACACGTTTTAACAATTAACCGAAAAATCCAAGCTTTTTTTCTTCGAAAATATCTCATTCTATTTGAAGAACCACGATAATAACCGTACATCATCTGTGGCCACAAGTCGGTTTACCGTGTAAATTTTAAAAATTCCCAAAACTTGCCAAAGTATGGTATTAAAATGTTGTCTTTTTTCTAAGAGAACGAAAAACTAAATCGTTTATAACGAGTTTCGATTTTTAACGGACTGAGATTTTTAGTTTGCACTTAGGCTTAGGATATCACGAATTAATTAAATTTTATACAAATCCAAGTACATAATATAACACATTTTTGCAGGATCAATAATTGGATGTTTGGACTCTAGCGTATTTCGATTTGCTGGCTCTCTCCTGAGAAATGAAGTGTACCGAAATTTATTGTTTTTATCACATCATCTTATCGATAAATCACGTTATATTTTTTATAGCAACATAATTGTTACGAAAGTTAAATAAATGTAACTAAACAATAATTGTATAGCATTAAAATATTGTATTTTTTAATGTTTTATTTACTTTTTTTTTTAATAAATTAAAATTATAAAATGTATGTTTAGTTAATTAGTAAGGATCCTAAATTGGTTTTTCTCTGGCTCATAAAGGGTGGAAAAATATAATTTTAGGTATGGTGGATTTACACTAGCGGTACTTTATAAAGAATTTAACCGCGTTCGCTAATACAGTTTTTATATTTTAATTTAAAAGCAAACAATACATACACAAAGGTGATCAACCTAACGTGAAACTCTAACTGCCTTAAATTTAATTGTTAAGATTAGGAATAATTTACTGAAAAACGTGACCGATCGACAACCAGTTTTTGAAAATTACTATTCAAGTTACAGATAAAAATAACACTACACTCAACCCTTCCCCCTGTCCTAAGTTTTAATCTCTAATAACTTCTATAATAATTACCCAAAACTGGTTATCGACCAGTCTAAATTTTCAGCAAATTATTATTAGTCTGAAAAGTTAATAAAATATAATATAGGTCTTTATTGAAGTTTCAAAATGTTGATAGCGCTCGGGAAAATACTAATAAAGATAAAATATTTGGTAGTTTTATAAGATTGTACACAGCCACATAAATAAAAATGTTTTCAAAAATAAAAACTATACTGATGGTTGGACAACAAAACTGTATGGAAACATAGTCTACAAATAACAAAAACGACTATCCCGTACAAATGCGGATGGGACACGACGCAAATATGGTTATTAAATAGTTTTATCTTATTTGTATTTTAATAAGAGCTTGTTAAAATATTCTTGCCGGCGGCATATTTGTATAATAATGAAGCTTTCCATTATATTTTTTTCTGTAAACTCGTTCAATATCAAGTCAACCGGGAAGCTGCAGTTCGAAAAAAAAACTTGAAAGAGAAAGTGTAGTATAAAAGTAATGGGAAATGTACAGGAGCAAGGAACAATAACGGCCGTTAATGGATATTAATCCCGCCTGCTAGCCTTTTCTATATATACAAATACAATCGCCAGTCTAATCTAAACCGTTCAACCCTGGTTTTGCAGAAGGTGTGCGGTTTTTATCTGCTCCTTGTCTTATGGTAAAATCGTGTGTATAGGCTCATTAAATACCTATAATTTAACATAAAATAAAAATAATGCGACAGTTAAAACCAAACGGTGCTTTAATATTATCACTATTAGATTGAGTCACTTTGGATGGATACATTTAAAACCGATTAAACTGTATTTTTTTTTTTATAGAATTGGACACTCGAAAAAAAATATTTTCATCATAAGTTAATGATGAGTACAATTAATAATAATATATACATATATTTGTTTAAAACAATATTTCTTTGTTATTTATATTTAATAATAATTTATTGTAGTGCAAAAAAAATAAGAAAAAGAAACTTTTGCCCTTTTGTTGTAGGAGTAAAACGATCAAAACCACTCTCGATTTGGTAATGGCACTTTGAAACGAGAAACTACTTATATAGAAATAAACTAAATGAACTCATTCCATTTTTGAACTATGACAAAAACATTGGTTTCGAATGTTTAATTATATCAAACATAATATTATAGTTAGTTAGTTTTATTAAATTCAAAAAAAGTCCATCTTCGTTTTCCACTCAATTTCAAAATATTTAAGATGACGGCAACATTAAAAATTGGTAGAAAAAGTTAACCATGGATATGTTATTTCTTATATTTTATCCTTTATCACTTATCGTTTGTCTTTTTCTTATCTCTTATCTCTAACTAATTAATAAAAGTATAACGCGAGAATGGCAAAATGAAATTTCTTGTATCCAGCCTAATAAAAATTAGGAGTTCCTTTAATTTAGACCTAAACATGAACCTATAAGTTCACTGGTCATCAGAATACTTCACTTGGGTGAATTCGGCGACCCCGTGGAATGTATATTTTATTACAGCTTAAAAACCGTTTGATCCGATTTTAAATGTCCGTGGTCGAGCCGAGATTGATTGAGGTTTCTCGTCGGAAAATGCTTTTTTAATGCGATAAAAAAAAGTCGTCTTCGTTAGGGGCGGCATTCGACGTAGTCGACAAAAAAGGGACTATTTTGCTTAGTAAACAAAAAAAATTCCAAAAATTCCACCCTTTTGCTTGAAATTCGGATGGCTTCCGCGTTTTTAGCACTTGGTTTTGCGGTTCACCCTAATTATAGAGGTTCGACCGTGTCCCTTTACCTTCATCATCATCATCATCACTCTACGATGATATGTGCTTAGGGTGAAAAAAAATTAATATAATTCCAGAATAAAGTACTATGTTATGCCAAAGTCGGTTGATTCGAAATTCGGACGTCCAACTTAGACCAATCAAACATAATAATGAAAATAGTAGAGACGGAAAGTGACCTATTTTTCAAACACACCTTTCCCAGCATCAGGTTGGCAATACAAATACACTAATTAGGACACGGAACAATTATCATATTACAAGCACTGCTAGAATACAAAAAAATGTGTATAAAAATGGCTATATGTGTATAATTGCCGTTTCTTTTTAACCGATTACAAAATTAGTATTATTAAAATCTTTAATTGGAAAAGTAAATATGGTCGCCTGATTATTGTATACAGTACTATAGTATGGCTATATACAATTAATTTGAACCATACCATGATCACTCTAATGATCATACTTTTGTGATAATGTCAATGTGTGCAATTTTTTTCCATAAATAATACTTTTTTTTTTGTACGGGTAAAATATAAAATTTAGGGATTTAATTAAAAGTTACCACAACTCGAATGTTTTGAAGAATTAATTTCTTTCTTTGAATAATACTATTTAAAATGTTACAAATTTATTTTAGTAGAACATAATGACCAGGTAACCTAAAAATGAACACACACACACACATATATTTATATATATATTAGCATAAAATTTAAATATTAATCACTCAATAGTCATTTAAAAAGAATCTTTTTTATATATTGAAATATCAGCTTATAACTTAACAAGATTCTATCATGTTTTTATGTTGTAAATTATTCCATATGTGTTTACATTAATATGCCACAAATTATATAAAAAGCGTTAAAAGTATTTGAAAAAAAAATGTTATAACAGTAATTCAAAAGATATGGTATTTGATTTTGTATATTTTTTATCATGAGTTCTCTGAAGCCTTTTTTTTTTGCATTCGATGAATACAAAACTATTGACTCGTACCACGGCTGTTTATAGTCTATTATTGTTCATTGATTTTTTTCAACATGCATTACGGAATTAAAGTCCATCTGCGGATTGACTGCTAGCAAAAACGGCGATACTAAGAATAGTGGTGCCAAATGTTTGAAGATGGGATCCCGGACACTAAAGAGCACTTCTTACTTATGACCACTTCAGCGTGGCCACATATTACACGGTTCTAAGAAATTTCGGACGAGTTTTGTCCAAAAGATGAAACCGACACATAATTTGATAGTTTTTACCCACGAGGAACCCAAATCTGCCTTCAAAGTTTCCTTAGCACGTAATGTCGTTGAGAAAAAAAATGTTTCTAACTAATTGAACAGCTGTTAAAAAAAAATCTATAAAATAATAAACGCGTCATAAAAAATCACAGCATAATCCTTTTATATTGTTTAAAACGGCGAAAATATTAAAAATGAATAAAATATACATTTATAGATAACAAATTTTCGAACCCAGAGTTGTAAAAATGTATGCGTTGTCAAAGGTTAATTACAGGGGGTGGCTGTAGTGGTTTTAATGTGACACAATAACAGAAAGACTAAGGTCAGTTAAAGAAAAATGTTGTATAAATCGTTAAACAACATTATTTAGAACAATTTTTAATCTGGCTAAAGAAATCCAAATTATTATCATGTATTGCTTTATTTAAAGCCATTACCATTCGGTTTACCGGATAATAATAACAGCTATAGTTCGGTTTGTAAGAGGAATTATAAAATAGGTGGTTCGAGCACAAGGAAATAGAAGGAACACTAAAAGAAACAATATTTAGAATATTTCAGGACAGTCAATAGTACTATTAATTAGACCTTATAATCCAACAGACATGTGCAACATATCGACTATGAGCTAAGCTAGCCAGTTTAATATTAGATGCAATACACTATTATAATCAATATAATATACATATTTGATGAGTATTATAAATGTACGCATAATCATCAAACTGCTTTAATGTTTAATGAGCGTCGACAACTGGGAAAGTACGGGACGAATCCTTAAGACCTAACCCTACAATATAATAAGAAGAAGAAGAACTCGTGTGTTTGTGCGTGTAGGTACTTTGTTGCCTCGTCGTGACAGCATGATGTGGCGATGACAGCTTAAAATCGTACACAGCAGAAGGACAAAAGACTAGCAACGACCCAAAAACACAAAACTTCATCTCTTCCACACACACCTCTCTGCGTGTACAGCTCACCGTCGGGACTTAAAAACATAACCCCGTTATTATCACTATTGTCTTTGCTTAAGACTCAACGTGGATATTATTATAAATTCTCTGCAAGGATTAGAATGTTCAAAATATATAGTACTATAAGTATATAGTAGACCGCACAGCTAGCGAATGATGTGGAGATGACGTATAGTGAGCGTTTTTTATTCATTAGGAAAAAAATATTATTTTGAGTGCTTTAACCGCGTTAAACGATCAACAAAATTCAAAACGGGAGTTCTAAAACCTGTACACAGTTTTATTATGGTGGTCAGTTTCCAATGCCTTCGCATCTAATTAAGGGGGGGGGGGGTATGGTTAATTCGTGCAAAAAACGGCAAACTTTTGAGAATTTTTTTTGACGACACAGTTAAAATCTGTTTATTAAAAACTAATGGTACATTAGAGTATAACGTTCGAAGCATATTGTGTAATATTTTCATGTAGAAATATTAAAAAATACGGCAATGGCGGCAATTATTCGGAAGCGTCTCGGAATAAAGTAGAATTGCGGTGTCCCTCATAACTCGATGCTGGATCATCCGAAATTA